TCCTGCACAGCCTGGCCGACGGCGCGCACGGCCTGGCCGATGCGTCCCTTGGTCTCCCTGGGCTGGCGGCGCCGCCCAGCCTGGAGGACCTGCAGGTGAGGCCCTGGGGCTCCGAGATGGGCCCGTCGCGGCCGCGGAAGTCATGGCAGGCCTAGGGTGACAAGGAATGCCGGAGGCCGGCTTCTCCCCAACCCACCACTTGTCACTTTGACTTGGATTAGACATAGACAGGCACTGAGGCACTGGAGTGGGGGGTGGGGGGGAGGGGGTAGGCAGTAAATAGCGGGGCCTTAACTTTGCCTTCCCCTCCCCACCTGGTTGTCGCTGAGCCACAAAGGACCACTATTCCCAGGCCCTGGTTGTCGAGGGCAAAGAGAGCCGAGTGATTAGTTGCCTGTCTGAAGTTTTAATTCCCTTTTCTGGCTTGGCACCCTGAGGCACCCAGACTCTAGCTCTTTTGCCGAAGGTGCTGCTGAGGTCCCCTTGGGGCATAGCAGATAGAGACCAGGGACAACAGGGACTGGGAAGGGACTGAAAAAGCAGTCCAGACTCGCCCTCACCATCTCGCTCTCCTCTTTCAGGCCATGGATGAGCCGGGAATGAGCCTCCTGGACCAGTCAGTGATCAAGAAAGGTAAGTGATGGCTGTGTCTGAGGGAGCATAGCAGGGTGAGAGGACTCAGGCGCGCGCGTGTGCGCGCGCGCGCACGCACACACACACACACACACACACACACACACACAAAGCCGAGACTCATAGTGACCCTATAGGACAGGGTGGATCTGCCCCTGTGAGTTTTTGAGACTGTAACTCTTTCCAGAAGTAGAAAGTCCTGTCTTTCTTCTGCAGGGTGGCTGGTGGTTTTGAACTGTTTAACTTTACAGGTAGCAGCCCAACACATAACTACTGCACCACTAGCACCAAAACCAAACCAAACTCACTACCCGAGTAGAAAGCCCAGTCTTTCTCCTGTGGAGCTGCTGGTGGTTTCGAACTGCTGACCATGAGGAATGCAGCCCAACGCATAATCACTACACCACCAGGACTCCTCCACTAGGGAAGAGATCCTTTATATTCCAAGCACCCAGGGCCTCCTGTGTGCCTGGCACTCCGCTGCTGCCCAGTTACAGGTTGCAGGGACTGCAGCAGAAACAGTGTGCTGTGGCACGGAGTTGGGAAGTCACACACACACACACACACACACACACACACACCTCTGCCCACCAGCCTGACATCCAAGCACTGTCTGAGCCCACCGATTCACCTTTGGGCACCAGGGCCCGTCCTCTCCATGCCCAAGGAAGGGCACTCTTGTGGATCTGGAGTTAATTTGCAGAATGAGTTAAGCCGCTTCCCTCTTTTCTAAGAGGTGGTGATGGAAATGCTACTGTACAGAGCCTTGCCATTTCGAGCCTAACAAGCACTCTCCGCTCCTACCTTCTCACCAGGGCCTTGGGGACCTGCATCTCCCTGGGCAATTTCCTCCACACACTAGAGCATTTTCAGAGTAAGGGAGTTGGCGTGTTAATGTGGTGTTAGGCTGCGTGGTGCTCAGGGTCAGGGTCTGGTAGCTTCTGCGGGTGATTGCCTGTGAGTTCAGGACCCTGTATGTGTCAGCCTCTCTAGGAGCCTCAGTGTTTCTACGCATGTGTGTCTATGTGGCTGTGAGTGTATTTGTGAGCCTGGTACATTGGCATACATGGGCGTGTGCTCTGGGGTCTCTGTGTGTGTCAGGATCTGTCTGTTTTATATCCCTGGAATGAGTTCTTTGGTATCCCAGGGTCTCTCTCTGTGTCTTTGTGGGGGTGCTGATGTATTTTGTTGCACTACTGAAAGCCGGGAGTATGAGTTCCCACAGTGGAGTGGCTTTCTGGCCTGAGTTCTAGCTGCCAAGTGGAGGCGTAGATAAGGTACGTCAGGTGCTCCGCTCCAGGCACCACTTAGGCAGCATACCAATGAGCAGTTTCTGTGCACCGTGGCAGGTTCCCGTGCCAGCTGTGAGAGAGATCACTCAGTTTCTGGGCCCCCCACTCCACCCCAAATTTAAACTAATTCCCGTAGGTGCCAAAGAAAGGGCAGGGACAGGGAGCGAGTAAGAGGCTGAGACGAGCAGCTCTCACCGGACAGGTTCTGGAGATTTGGAGTGTGTGCCCAGAGCGGACGCAGAGGAGTCCCAGGGGAACCCTGCTCCCACACGGGGTTTGGCTGAGTTGTTTTTCCACCGCGTGCCTTCAAGTCGGACTCCGTTTGCCATCCCTGTGTTCTTAAGGGGCCTGGGGATGGAGGTCGGGGCTCTTAGGAGCTGAGGGATGGAGGGGTGGATGTGGGTGTCTGACCTCCTAGAGCTGGGGCAGGAGGGAAGGAGTACGGGGAGTGCGGGGAGGAGGAAGAAAGGGACTTCCAGGAACTGAGCTGGGTTGTCAACCCTGGAAGTTATCTAGACGTCCTAAAGGGTATGGAGGGAAGACGAGGAGGGGCAAGGGAGGGCTCTAGAAGCTGGGGCAGGGTCACTGGAACCCGTGAGTGTAGGGAGGGCACTGGGGACCCAGGCTGCCTGGAGTCTGAATGGAAGTTTGCCTGGGACTCCGTTCTTTGTTGGTGAGTGCTGTTGGAGCTTCATGGACCGTGCCTCTTGTGAACTGCATGAAAGGGAGAATTTGGTCTGACGTAAGCAGGAGCCTGCTGCTCATCTGCGTCCACCAGAGGGATTCCACCTTGGCGGTGGGCCCCGCTTACTGACTGTGACCGATGCAAGGACCCACCGGAGTGGGTGGAAGGAAGAAGCTTGGGGACTTCAGCACTAGGGAAGTGTAGACGATTCCGCCATCTTGTCCAGATTCGGCACATCTTTGAGCCCCTCTTTCCCCAGGGCCAGGGGGTTGACCACTGGAAGGAGGAGCTGTAATTTCCCACAATTTAAAAATTAGTTTCTTTCAAAGGACATCAGTTTCTATACCTTCCAGATCCTTGGCATACAATGGGATCCGGTGTCGATGCCGGCACCATACAACGCGTCGGCGCGTCTTGTGGATGTGGGCTTGCACACCCCTCAGGACATCCATACCCACCCACCGGTGACTGAGTGGAGCCTGGTGAATCCCTAGACGTGAGCGAGGGACTCTCCCCACCAGGGACAAGGAGTCACACCCCGAGCCCTGTAGCAAATTGGAAAGAAGCGCCTGCTTCTTGACTGGTTTGGGAGCCAGGAGAGTGGGTCTATGCTGGCGGCTGTTGGCCTCATAAATGCTGCGGCAGGGCTAGCACCAGGTGGCTCAACCTTAGAGGGGCGTGCTCAGGGGGTGGCCAAGCTAAGCGTGGCAGCAGAGCAGGTGGCCTAGCTGGAGTTCTCCATTCTGGAGCCTTGAGGACCGACACTGCAGGCAGACCTCAGCTCTTCCCCTCCACACTCACTCAGGGGCTTCTTCCTCCCGCCAGCCCATCTTTCCCCGTGGCCCTTTAGTGGTGCCTGAAGCCCCCGCCCCACCCCGACCCCCCTTGTGTGGCAGAGGCCCTGGAGCCTCCTTGGGACAGTAAGGGACCACACCCGCATCATGAGCCCTAGAATTATAGAGTCACCCGTGGCCATCTGCAGGCAGCTTCCGCCAGCTTCTCCTTGGCCCCAGGGAGGAGGGGGACTGCTTCTCAGGCCACTGGGGCCTAACGGAGTCCACCCAGCCCCCTGGAAGCAGCTTTTGTGCTGCATGGAGATCTCCAGCCTTGGCATAGTAGATACCCACGAAGGGGAGCAGAGGGGTGCCTGGAAGCTTTCCAGATTCTGAATACTTGTCCCTGCAGGGAGGAAAGTTCCCGCCCCACCACAGGACTCCAGGGGCAGCAGAACACCCCAAGCGGCCACTGTGTGGATCTGGGAATGGCCCCCATTTGTCCCTTCCAGCTTTGCAATGCCTCCAGCCATGCCCCAGGGGCACAGGCAGCCCGAGGGACTGGTAGAGGAGCTAGACCATGACAGATATTTTCCAGCCCCCCAGGCAGGGATGGGGTGGGATCTGTGAGGATGTAGAGGGAGCACTGAGCACCCAGGAGCCTCGGTGAGTGCCTGGGGCGGGGCCTCCTGGAGGAGGGGCCGTTTGGGCGGGGCGAAGTAGGTGCTCCGTGGAGGTGTGCCGAACGAATGGATGAATGCTGGCTTTTGAAATCTGAGACCATTGGGAAAAGGAATGCCCAGTGGGCTGAGCTACTTACCTCTCACCTGGCGCAGCACCCACAAGTACCTTCTCCCTAGAAAAGGCAATGGTTTGGGGTTATACCATCGCCGCTCACAGGGAATGCTTTCGGGATGAGAGTTGAGATACAGACTTGGGAGTCACTCTGGAGGAAGGCAGCGGTTGCCTCGCTGAGGGGTGAAGACCAGAAGGGGACATTCTCCTCTCTCTTTCTCAGGGACTTCCTGGTCCACCTCAAGGGGTCTCCAGCAACCAGGGCTGATGTAAATAGTCTCCCTCCCCTCTCCCACCAGCTTTGGGGCTGGAGTAGGAAGGTGGGGAGGGGCTAGACTTCTAAAGGCACTCTCTCAAGTGGGCCGAGGGCAGGACTAGGGTGAGTGTGGCCTCTGCCTCGGGACCAAATGTCAGGGGGCACTAGGAAACTCAGTAGTCAAGATCAGTAATACCTTAATGCAATATTCAACAAAATAAAAATCAATGCAAAAATTGTTCATCAATTTTCCCAAACTGCATACAGATAGAAATTTGACCCTGCAGTCCTGACACTGACTCACCAGCCTCCTCTCGCCCCAGGGCTGCCTCCAAGGTCCACTGCCTGCCCTAGAAAGCAGCCGAGGAGGGCCCTTGCAGACCGTTTGGACTTGACTGAGGGCATTGGAACCTTGTTTTCTTTGTTCTTTTTTGAGTTACTGGGGAGTGACTGGCCACCACTGTATTTAAGACACACCCAGCTATTGGTGAGGAGACTTAACCTGCAGGTCCCAGCAGATCATATATCCATCCAACAACTTCTCCATGGGTAGTTCAGTAACATTGTCTTCAACAACTTCTCCATGGGTAGTTCAGTAACATTGGCTTCAACAACTTCTCCATGGGTAGTGCAGTAACATTGGCTTCAACAACTTCTCCATGGGTAGTTCAGTAACATTGTCTTCAACAACTTCTCCATGGGTAGGTAGTTCAGTAACATTGGCTTCAACAACTTCTCCATGGGTAGTGCAGTAACATTGGCTTCAACAGCTTCTCCATGGGTAGTTCAGTAACATTGTCTTCAACAACTTCTCCATGGGTAGTGCAGTAACATTGGCTTCAACAGCTTCTCCATGGGTAGTGCAGTAGCATTGGCTACATTGTTCATGTGGGTCACCCTTCACTACATTTCTCTTTATATTATAGCACCGCCAGTGACTTAAACCCGCTGCCCCATAAACTTTTGCATTGGGGTTAGAGTTAACTATTGTCAATTTGATTTCATGTAGCTAATTTTTTCAGAGTACAATGATCGAGGAAAACCTTCTATACCAATTCAGCTGAACAGATGGGATTCGGTGATTTGTAGTAAATTCATAGAATTGTGTAACCATCACTACCATTCATTTTCCATCACTCCCAAACATTTCCGTTCCAGTTTGTAGTCAGTCTCCACTCCCACCCCAAGCCCTAGGCAAC